AAAGAACACTGAAAGTTTACATTTTATAACATTATTATGCAGATTGTATTTAAACTTCAAAAATATTTAAGACAATTGTAACCCTGTAAAGCTGATGAGGTATTAAAACAAGACAAAACACTTCTGACTTTTAACAGAAATTGTGTCCTGTGGTGGTTTTTTTCGTGTGTGTGGGGGGGGACATCAGAGGTTGTCACACTGGGGAGCTCCTGGCACCAAGGGGTGGGGCCCAGGAGCCCCCCGCCCCCAAATGCCAGCTGTGTCCAGGGGACGGGCCCTGGCTAAGCCGTTCCTCAGCATCCCCCTTCTAAGAGTGTGTGTGTGGCCATATGCACGTCCCTGGGGACCTGGTGGTACAAAGGCTGTTTTAGGGATTGGGGGGGGACCTCGGTGGCAGGGCCGGGCCTCCCAGCCTGTCCCCCCCCCCCCAGGCTAGCTCTCCTGCCTGCAGGGTTCCTTGGCCCCCGGCACTGTCACTGTGGGATTTGTAACCTAGGCCCCCTGGGTGCGGCCTTCTCTGCCAGTCCCTCATCCGTCTGGAAACTTCCGCAGCACTCTGCCTTGTGTTTCTGCTGCCTCTGCTTCTGGGCCACCCGGGGCGCCCCTCAGCTCGACTGGCCGGACGCGTGTGGGGTGCCCGCGTGGGAGTCCCCCACCCCCACTGGAGCAGGGCCCAGCCTGCCCCCACCTGCCTTCCCGCCCTCTGTGCTTTGGCTCGAGGTTTCACGTTGTAGGATTCGTTGGTGCGGCCTGAGAAACCAGACCCCAGGGGTGGGGTCGGGCCCCCGCACAGACGGAAGGGGGCCCCTGGGCGCCCTGCCTCCGAACCCAAAGCACACTGGCTCCGCAGCTTTGTGGCTGGGAGAGATTTTCTGGGACGTCCGCTCCATTCGCCCTCGTGACACCCGCACACAGGCTGTGCCGGGCTCAAGGTCAGCGAGGCCTGCAGCGGGCACGCCCCACCTCCCCCTGGCCGGCCCCTCCCGCCCGGGTCAGCACCCCAAGGCCGCACCAGGAACGGGGGACAGCCAGCCGCCCCTCCGGTCCGAGCTGGCGGTTGCCCCGGTTTATCCACCCGCTTTCCGCACCTGCTAGAAGTGAGTCAGCTGTTCATCCTGGGCCCAGCCTCTATGGGCCTGGGGGGCCAGGAGAGGTCAGAGGACAGGTCACCCACCTTCCTCTAGGGCCCCTCCCCCTCACACACCGGAGATCAAGAAAAATCCTTTAAAACGGGAAAACACTCCTTCTTGCAAACTGGCCCAGCCGGTGCTTCCCTTCATTCCTCCCTGAAGAGCCCCTGAGGTCACACGGCCCCTGGGGGACCAGGGAGGCGGCAGGCCCCGTCACTGCCCGCCCGGCCTCCCAGAACCCGGCGGCCTCTGTCCCCCTGGCCTCCCGCTCCGCGCCTGTGAGGAGGCCGGGAAGGCTCCTGGAGGTAACGTGGGGACCCGCGTCCAGCCAGCAGAGCTGAGGGAACCTGCAAGGCACCAGGAAGGGGTGCCTGAGCAAGAGGTTTTCACCGAGTCCTCTGCCTTCCCTCCCACCACGCGTGGCCCGGACGGGGCTGCCCTGGGAAGGGGCCTGTGGGCCGGGACGCCAGAAAGGGGGGTCGGTTTGTTTCTTCAGTGTGTACCCACTGCCTACAAACAGGAGGTGCCCAATAATGAAAAAATAATAACGAGCGAGAACTCGGGGCTTAGGGGCACCTGCACGGCTCAGTCGATTAAGCGTCCGGCTCCTGATTTCCACTCAGGTTACGATCTCACGGTTCGTGGGACTGAGCCCCGTGTCCGGCTCTGTGCTGACAGGGTGGAGCCTGCTTGGGATTCTCTCCCTCTCTCCCTCCGCCCCTCCCTCGCTCCCTTGCGCTCTCCTTCTCTCAAAGACAAAAAAGAATTCAGGGCTTACTGGGGTGGCGGTGGGGGAACCGTATCTGTGCCTCGGTTTCCCCCATCCTGCTTCTGCCCCTCTAGCCACACACTACAGACTTGGATTTGGGAACCAGGCATCCAGCTGGCACCAAGGAGGTCTGGCGACAGGGGTGGTCCCTGGACGACCCCCCCCCCCAAAGTGTGGCTGTAGCCTTTCTCTTCTGACACAACTGGTCTGTCCTCATTCCACGCTGGCTGGGCTGGGGGTGGGGTGACCTCTGACCTCCTGGGAGGAGAGGAGGGGGAAGGAGGCCTGTGAGGGGCCAGGACTGCGATCCAGCTGTCGCCTGGGCCTGCCCCTGCCTGAGTGCCAGCAACCAGCACCCTCCGGGCATCAAGCCCCCTCACACTCTGGCACCCGTCTGCACAGTTGGTGTTTTCTGCAACCCACATCTGCTGGGCCTGCCCCTGTGTCCTGGATCCCAGGGATCTGGAGGCTTCCAGGCCAGACTTCCTGGAAGCAGACGCAGACCCAGGACCCAGATCCCATAGCTACGGGAAACTACAGTCGCTGCAGTGGCTGTGCATGTGGGGAAACTGAGGCCCAGAACTTCACAGTGATTCGCCTCACAGCTCAGAAGTGCAGGTTCAAAGGGCGCCTGGGTGGCGATCGAGTGTCCGGACTATGGCTCAGGTCACGACAATCTCTCGGTTCATGAGTTCAAGCCCCATGTCGGGCTCTGTGCTGACAGCTCAGAGCCTGGAGCCTGCGTTGCGTTGTCTCCTCCTCTCTCTTGGCCCCTCCCAGGCTCACACTCTCTCTCTCTCAAAAATTTTTAAAAATTGAAAAAAAAGTGCAGATTGAAGCCTTGAGCTGATGTTTAGAAGAAAGGCCACCAGGGTCCACTCCTGGGAGCCATACAGTGGCATTCTCAAACACATTCTCAAACCAGATTCCACGGAGCGCCAGGGACTCGGGATTCAAAGATTTGATTTTGGGAAACCAATGTTTGAAAAGCGTAAATTAGCATTCCAGGCATTTTGTTTTTCTTATTCACACTTTTTTTTTTTTAATGTTTATTTGTTTTTGAGAGAGACAGTGTGAGCGGGGGAGGGGCAGAGAGGGAGGGAGACACAGAGCCCGACGCAGGGCTTGAACTCATGAACCGGAGATCATGACCTGAACAGAAGACAGACGCCAGTGTTTAAAATAATATTTGAGGGGGCATGTGGGTGGCTCAGCTGAGCACCCGACATCAGCTCAGGTCATGGTCTCATGGTTTAGTCCTTGAGTCTGAGCCCCCCTCCCATGGGGCTCTGTGCTGTCAGAGCAAAGCCTGCTTCAGATCCTCTGCCCCTCCCCCGCTCATGCTCTAGCTCTCAGAAAAATACATGAACATTTGAAGAAAATAAAAAGGGGCGCCTGGGTGGCTCAGTTGGTTAAGCATCTGACTTTGGCTCAGGTCACGATCTCTCAGTTTGCAAGTTCGAGCCCTGCATCAGCTCTCCTGTCAGCGCAGAGCCTGCTTCTGATCCTGTCACCCTTTCTCTCTGCCCTTCCCCCGCTTGCACAAGCTCTCTCTCAAAAATAAACATTAAAATTTTTTTTTAAATATTAACAAAAACATTTGCGGAACCTAGGAGCATCAACTCGTTGTGAGGGTGGAAATCAGGGAGACCTGGTTCCACTTGCGACCTGTCTGAACTAGGAGGTCCCTGCACACTCAGCTCTCCTCACGTCAATTTACAAGCGTCCTTAAGTTCCCAATGGATCCCCGCCCTCCAGGATAAAATAAAATCCAGGCTACCCACTGGCTGAAAGGCCCTGCACTGCCCAGCTCCATCCTCCATGGTCTGCCCCAGGGCCTTTGCACGTTCCTCTGCCCACCTTTCCCTCCAAGTTGTTAATTCCCTGCTCAAGTGACACCTGCTCTCGGAAGCCCCTCTTCCAGATCCCCAAACTAGGCAGGTCCCCCGTGGCAGCCCTTTCATCCCCGTAACTGCTTCTTGTTGTGGCCCCAGGGCTGGGAGCAGCCGCCCTGGGCAAAAGCCCTTTCCGGGTCCGGCCTCCCGGTCCGAGGCTCGCGCCTGCCACCTGGCGGTCGGGGCTGGAGCCGCGGATACCCCACGCCCCGAGCTCCCGTTCCTCGCTCAGGCGGTTCCCTCCCTCCGTCCACCCATCGTCTCCTGGATATGAAGCGGGGTTGGGGGCGCACGGTCTCCGCCCTGCTCTAGGACACCTGCTCCCATAACGCCCTCGGCAGCTTGGGGCGGGCGCTTCCGGCACTGTTGCAGACCCCGGGCATCAGGCACCCTCCAGTGTCGCTGGGAATAGACGCCAAGGCCTCACCGGCTAAGTGGATTGACTTCACAGGTTTCCAACTAATTCCACGTTTTTGAAAGGCGCTGTTTGGAGACCTGGCCTGGGGCCGGCAGCTGTAGTGGAGGGTAGGCGCCCCTCAGGCTGAGATCGCGACTTGTTTGGCCTGCACCACGTTCCTGAAATGTACAGGTGCACTTCGTGGCCCCAGAGAAGAGGGGTCTGGGGGCGGCGGACGGTGGACCCGGGGGCGTTCAGCTAGACAGGTTAGGTACGCAGTGCGCGTTTTTCGTGCAAATGATTATCGAGGCCTGCGAGCTCGGGACTTTACTATTCGCACATTAAAAAAAAGAAAAGGAATCCGATTGACCGTGTCACTTGGTCAAAGGCGCCCAGCGGAAACGGCCAGGCGACCTCCGGGCTCTGAAGTTCTCTGCAGGAGACCCTGAGCCCCGACTTCCCCACCTATCTGGGGGCGAGGTCTCCTTCCACGGTCACCACCTCCACGGCACGCGCCCCCACCGCCGCGGGGCGGGGATCTAGCCCCCTCTCGAGCACGTGGTCACGCGCCAGCCCGGGCGAGGAGACGTGGGCGCCGCTCTAGCCGCCGCGGCGCAGGTGCCGGAGTCTCGCTGGCGTGACGTACTTCCGGGGCGGTGGGGGGGGGAGGCAAGATGGCGGCTCCCATGGAAGTGGCCGTGTGTACGGACTCGGCGGCCCAGCTGTGGAGCTGCATCGTGTGGGAGCTGCATTCGGGCGCCAATTTGCTCACGTACCGCGGCGGCCAGGCCGGACCCCGCGGCCTGGCGCTGCTCAATGGCGAGTACCTGCTGGCGGCGCAGCTGGGCAAGAACTACATCAGCGCCTGGGAGCTGCAGCGGAAGGTGCGGCGGCGCGCGCCCCGGCCCGGGCTTCGTCGGAGAGTGCGCGGGGTGCCCCAGAGTGGGGTCGGGGGAAGGGTCGGTGGGGCCCGCGGGGTCCCTGAACCGGGGCGGGGGTGGTCTCGGTTAGGGTGCGCTGCGCATGCGCGGGTCTGGGGGCGGTTGGCGAGGAGGGAGGCTCGCTCTGGGTTGGGTGGGATCCTTGGCGCTGGGCTGAGGGTGGGCCACTGGGGAGAGTGAGGAGCGTCTGTGGGGCAGGCACCCTTGATGGGCTGG